AATTTTGTGAAATATATTACAATAAAAATAATAAAATTTGGTGACTGATTGGGCAACTGCTGGCTTCAAACTTAGGTAACAGGGGTTGGCAGTAAGACTGCTGCCTTGTCATAACCACAATCCCAGAGTTAATCCTCTTTCTGTCTAGTATTGGCCAATCTCTGCCTCCACCGACCTACTCCATCAGCAGATCAACTGTCAGTCTCTTCCATTTTACAAAACAATCTACTCCTCAGTTCTGTATGTCCTCTTGCTCACTTCTATCAAACATTCCTCCTTCCCTTTGTCTTCAGAGAAAGTTTTCTACATTAGTTCACACTCTTCCAAAGTGTCCTCTATTACACTTCCTCCCTTCTCATTCACTCTCAACTCAGAGCAAGTTAAATACAGCTCTCGTTATTTCCCTGAAACCACACTCTGTCATAGGTCAACAATAAATAAACTCTTTGTAATTAAGTTCAATGAGTGCCTTTCAGTTCTTACTAGAATTTTTCAGTGGCTTCTGACCTTGGTAACCATTTCTTCCAGAGGCATTTACCAGTCAGAGCTTTTGCCCAATTGCTCATTCTAAATCATTTAATGTAACACAAATACACTTATTTAACAAATATTTATTGAGTGCCTGCTATATGGCAGGCACAGTTCTGAGCACGAAGAATATATAAATAGACAAAATAAAATCCCTCTTCAATCTAGTGGAGAGACAACAGATAATAACACTGTGTGTCACATAATTTAAATGTTAAAAATAATAAAGGTTACATCATGCTGATTGGAAGAAGCCTACTCAAAAGAGTTCATACTTACTCCATCTATAGTAAGTTCTACAGCAGGGAAAAGTAATCTACAGTAGAAAAAATTAGAATAGTGATTGCCTCAGAATCACAGCTTTCTAGGGTGATATTAATGTTCTATATCTCAATAAAGATTTGAGTTACACAGACATACATATTTGCCAAAATTCATCAAAATGGTACATTCAAGACTCGTGTTTTTCTTTGTAATCTTTATCTAAAAAAATTTAAAAACATATTGAATTCCAGTTAATGATTTGCAAGCTGAAGTGTTGAGGAACAAAACATACTGATGTCTGAAACTCATTGAAATGCACTAAAAATCAGATGGATAAAGAGATGAAGAAATGAGATAAGGCAAGCACAATAAAGTGTCAACTTTAAAATCTAGTGGGAAGTGTGTGGGTTTTCACTGCAAAATTATAATTTTCTGTACATTTGTAAATTTTCAACATAAAATGTTGGGGAAAATAAGGCAGGGTAGGGGAATGTGGGGAGACTGGCTTGATTTGGACAGGAGACTCAAAAAATGCCTCTGGAATGAGGTAACATTTTAACAAAACCTGAGTATATTTGAGAATACATAAAAGAGCACATGCAAAGGTCTTTAGGCGAAATCATGCTTGGCATAACACTCAAATGTTATCTCCAGGCTAGAATACTCTTCTTCAGTTTTGGAACTATACATATAACTACCTCCTTGGTATACGGCATGAGGTAACATATATCAACTGGATGTCCTACAAAATACAGAACGCTTTCTCTTCACTCTCCTACCCCAAGTCCAACATTCTATCATTATTTTGGTCAAATATGCCACGACCCAGGCGCCTAACCACTATTTAGGGGTGGGGCGGAGGGGTGCAGATTCACAGTGTATTTTTAATCTCTCTGAAAAGTAACTCAATACACTGTCCAATTTTTCACTGATGCACACTTTAAATTAGATTTTGATACACAGAATTTTTTTATTTCATCTACATATCTCTATAGAAAGTGAATTAAAAAAACTGTGGAGAGTAAAGGGTTGTTTAACAAAACAACTTGAAGTAGCAGTTCTCAACCTGGCTGTGCATTCGAATCAACAGGATTTAGGCACCCATAATCCTATCCTGTTGTTAGCTAAATGACTCAGTAAGTTACCAAACAAAAGAAAACACAGGAACTAAGGTAAGATTTTTAAGCAAAGAGGGAAGATGATGTGGAGTTGAAAACTGCTAATTCAAAGGGTTACACAGCCTAGTGCTGTGTATGCCAGAAGAATCCACCTTGGTTCCGCTCTTTTCTATTCTATCTCCCCACAACTTATTACCAAGACCCATCTTACGTCAACCTAAAATATTAGCATTTACCTCACTTCAGGCTCTCTTCATTTCTCCCCTGGATTAGTGGCTTTTAAACTTTTTTTGACCACAGTTTACACAGTAAGAAGTGTGTTTTATATAAACATCTCTGTGTATACCAGATTGCTATTTACTGATTTTACTTACACACACACACACACACACACACACACACACACACAGAAAGAGAGAGAGAGAGAGAGAGAGAGAGAGAAACTTTCAGGAAACAATGCTTATTCTTACTACATTTAACATTTTCCAGTATTTCCTATTCTCACCTATATTTCTTTATTCAAATGCTGGTCATAACCTATTAATGGGTTGCACTCTACAAATTGAAAAACACTAATCTAGATTACTGCCAAATTCTAATACAAAGATCATAAATGGTGGCAACAAGCCTGCTGAAGCATTTATCTGGTCCCGACAGAATTAGGTGTATGTACTTACTGTTTTGAACTGGAATTCCCTCATTTATAAAACAGCCTGGCTACTATCCCAACTCCTTAACTCCTCAGCTGTCTATACCACTGCAAAAATGTTCTTAATAAAAGCAGAGGATTATGTCACTCCCCTGCTTTACATTCTTTAATGCTTATTAGTGGTTTTCAGAAAAAAGTTCAAAACCCTTCGCAATCACACAAAATTCTTCATAGGGCTGTTTTCTCTTCAGCATTATATATCTTGCTGCCTCAAATGCTGAACTCAAACTATAATAAAATAATAATTCCTGGGTTCAGCATACTCATTTTCATGGGTACTAGGGATTTGAATGTGCAGTCGGCTCTACTAAAATTAAACTTTTCACCACTGTGCTAACTATAACTCCTCCTCTTCTTTCAGAATCCACTGAAGTGTCACAGCTTTCAGAAAGTATTCTTCGATGTCAACAGCACAGGTGACTCCTCCCATTCCTTCTCTGCATGTGTTCCTTGTCATGGCATCATAAACTTACCTCTGGTATTAGCTTTAATTATATTGTATACTGGCTGATTGTTTACTCCTCTTCCCCACCCCCAGCACTTAGATGAGGAGGTTTCTGACAGTAAGAATAGTTTTTGTTTTGTTTTGTTTTGTTTTTTTAAGATGGAGTCTCGTTCTGTCATCCAGGCTGGAGTGCAGTGGCGCAATCTCAGCTCACTGCAAGCTCCGCCTCCCGGGTTCAAGCAATTCTCCTGCCTCCGCCTCCCGAGTAGCTGAGACTACAGGCGTCCATCACCATGCCTGGTTAATATTTTGTATGTTTAGTAGAGATGGGGTTTCACCGTGTTAGCCAGGATGGTCTCGATCTCCTGACCTCGTGATCCACCCACCTCGGCCTCCCAAAGTGCTGGGATTACAGGCATGAGGCACCGCGCCCGGCTAAGAATAGCTTTTTATATGTCTTTGCCACAGTGACTGTTACATGAGAGACTAGGATAAATGACTAATTTACCAAAGACAGAGGACACAGGACAAGAGATTCTTGAGAGGGAAAGGAAAGCTGAAACATTTGCAGGAAACAGAAGAGGGAAAAGCGGTTGAAAATAAGCTCAGAGAAAAGTCTGGCCTGAACATATAGATTTAATAGTTAAAATGATGGAGCACTGGCCAGGTGTGGTGGCTTACACCTGTAATCCCAACACTTTGGGAGGTGAGGCGGGTGGATAACGAGGTCAGGAGTTTGAAACCAGCCTGACCAACATGGAGAAACCCGTCTCTACTAAAAATACAAAAATTAGCTGGGCATGGTGGCAGGTGCCTCTAATCCCAGCCCCTCACGAAGCAGAGGCAGGAGAATCACTTGAATCTGGGAGGCAGAAGTTGCAGTGAGTCAAGACTGTGCCATTGCACTCTAGCCTGGACAACAAGAGTGAAACTCCATTCCAAAACAATAATAATGGAGAGTGCTAGATCTACTGGGGTAAGCATACAAAGGAAGACCAAAGGTTGAAACCATAATTATGCAGTGGACAACATCAGATGAGCCAGTAAGGGGCACTGAGAAAAAACAATTCTAAAAAAAACCAAGGTACATTAACAGTGACTGAGGTAAGAAAATGAAGACAATAGTGTAGAGACATCTAGAAGTGCAGTTGCAACAGCTACAAGAGTTGACATTCTGATCACTGTAAGCTGTGTTGGAAAGCACTGTGTCCATATTTTTATTGCAGCACTTTCTGACCGTATTGTATATACTGTACACGTTTACAACTGTGAATCACTACATAAGCTTCTTGAAGGCAGAGACAATTAATCATTAATTAATATTAGTATTACCAGTGCCAAAGGTCAAAGAAATTGTTACATGAATACAGAGGAGATGACCAAATGGAATAAACATATAGAATACTCTTTAAAGAAAATCATGGGGAGCTAAATAATTATAATGAGAAACTTAAAAGAGCTTAAGAATTACTAACCAGCAATGAAAAACTGTGTTTGTAATAGTCAATCAGCAAGGTATGTGACTCTCCAGTACTCAATTTATTAGCTGAGGAAAAGAAGAGCTATTTCCTCCCCAGCATGAGGTCTGGAAACAGACCACCAAGGATGCTAGAGAACTGAAGATATTATATGGAGTATCATGGTCACTCTTATGAAAAGTAAAAATAAACCGAGAATCAAATCAAGAGGGTTTTGCTAATTAACATCAGGTTTTTTGTTTTCCCTTCATACTACATATATTTCAACCAGATGAGCAATTGTTCTTAGTTTCAAAAAGTACTTCTTTGTAGCAAGTAAATAAATAGTATGATTCAGATTCCAACTTAGATTTTGAAGTTCTGAACAATGAAAACATTTTATACACACATTCAATAGTCATATGTTAACAGACAGTTGCTACTTAAATGCAAGTCAGACATTAAAAAATTTAACATACCCTGATGGCAAGGTTTCTGCGTTGGCATTCCCAGACTGCTGCCGTACAGGATCCACACACCCATCTGGCTGTCTTGATTTGGCTGCTTCAAAAGCAGAACTACTTCTAGAATTAGAGGTGTCAGGCTCTAATATACTTCTAGCTTCAGATCCCAATTCTGCACTGGTAGAAGGAATACATTCATTGTTTTCTGAGGAAGTCAGTATTTCTTGAACTGGAGGATCTTCAACAGTAGTACTAGTGCAATTTGGAGACAAGGCATTTTCTTCAGACACTACTGGAGTACCCGTGACAGAAGCATTATCAGTTGGTGCAAATGAGGATGATTCTCCATTAACTGAGAAGGGAAAATTAATAAAACAATCTATCAAGTAATGATAAAGCAATCAATTACCTAATCAATTGACTACACTTATTCAGAGCCTAATCCAGACTAAGCAACTACAATCCATTCTCCAAACAGCAGACAAAGTAATCTTTTCAAAATATGTAACATAAAATAAAATGGAGATTTTTTTTGTTCCTCAAAATTTCAGGGATAAATATGTAAACGATAAAAATTTAAGTATGTATAATAATAACAACCTTAAGGAGAGAGGCACCAACATTAAGATAACCAATGTTTTCCCTCCAAATCATCAATTCTGAGAAGTCTGTATGGGCCATCTAAACTTTGAAAAATGATCCCTTTCAATTGCTCTTCTCTTGTGTAAATGGTAGCTAACGTCAAACAAACTGCTTTGCCAATAGTAGGAACTATATGATGGCATCAGTTCTAAAAATAGCACTATAGGGGTTACAAGAACCTGTTCTACACTTTTTCAAGAAATAACCCAGTACTGCAATCCAGTGACACAGTTTTCCTAATTTTCATTTTAAGTGTGATTGATTGCTCTAGTTCGACTATGTGTCACTATAAAAATGAGTCAAATTAAAACTGTTAAGGGTGAATAGATTACAGAATAAAACCTACTGGAAAACCACATATCAAACGGCAGAGGGAGACATAATCACAAATTTTAGGAGAATTAATGACAAAAAAACCCACTCAGATTAAATGCTACTGGACATGGCCAAAGAAGTACCAAAGATGTAAGAAAAAAAGGTAATAAAAGAGCTTAGAATTCATTCCAGGTACAGAAAAAAAGAAAAAAGTAACTAGAAGAAAATGAATTTTGATCAAAAGACCCAAAAAAAGGACCAGAATTTCCTAATGCACCTGATATGACTCAAGAACTTACTGAAAATATAATATCTAAGTCCTCATACTAGACTTATTGAATCTCTAGGGGAAATCGCTAGGGAGGAACCTGGGGATCTGCATTTTCAACAAATGCATATGGTTTTTTTAATCAGGAAAGCTGGAGAAACCATAAAATATACCTTTCCAAGTTTTATAAAGAAAACATGTTTAATATAAATAACATTAGAAATACCACGTACAATTTCCTATCAATGAGTTTGAAATTAGCTAAACTAACTCAAAGGAAAGAAAAAAAAGACAAATCAGAGTAGCAATGGAAAAGGTGATGAAAGTTCTAATACCATTGCTCCTAAAGGCCCCAGGCTCAGAAAGGTTTCTGAGAAAATTCTATGAAGACTTTATCAGATAGATCATTCCTACGTTATTTAAGGTGTTATAACACATTAGGGGAGAAAAAGTGAAAAGGAGTGTCCTAACTCATTCTGGGAAGGTAATGTAATGTAACCTTTCAAAGCTGAAACTGAACAACAACAGAACAAGAAGACTATAGACTAACATCATGTATAAATTCAAGGATGATTTGATATTAGGAAACTACATTAGAAAATCTACTATGTTAGCAGATTAAAGGATAAACATCATATGATTATTTTCAATACAAACCAAAAGCATTCAAGAAAATCTTGGTAAAATACCTGACAAGAAGAATCAGGAAAAATTCACAAGTAATCTAGATTATCTATCACAAACCTATAGTCATTAATATACAATAATTGTAAAACATTTTAAGAACCTCTTTTTTTTTTTTTTTTGAGATGGTGTCTCGCTCTGTGGCCCAGGCTGGCATGCAGTGGCGCGATCACAGCTCATTGCAACCTCCGTCTCCCAGGTTCAAATGATTCTCCTTCCTCAGCCCCCCAAGTAGCTGGGATTACAGGCGCCTGTCACCAAGTCCCGTTAATTTTCCTATTTTTTTGGTAGAGACGGGGTTTCACCTTGTTGGCCAGGGAAGTCTCGAACTCCTGACCACAATGAACCACCCGACTTGGCCTCCCAAAGTGCTGGGATTACAGGCATGTTTTTACATGCCTGGGATTACATGGCCTCCCAAAGTACTGGGATTACAGCCTATTGTAAGAACTTCTATTAAGATCAAGAATAAATTAAAATCAGGGCTGGGCGTGGTGGCTCATGCCTGTAATCCTAGCACTTTGGGAGGCCGAAGCGGGTGGATCACGAGGTCAGGAGTTCGAGACCAGCCCGACCAACATGCTGAAACCCCATCTCTGCCAAAAAATAGGAAAATTAGCTGGGTGTGGTGGTGTGTGCCTATAATCCCATCTACTTAGGAGGCTGAGGCAGGAGAATCGCTGGAATCCAGGAGGTGGAGGTTGCAGTGAGCCGGGATCACGCCACTGTACTCTAGCCTGGGCAAAAGAGCAAGACTCTGTCTGAAAAAAAAAAAAAAAGAAAAAGAGTAAATTAAAATCAGCAACAAAACAAAGAAGATCACAATTACCATGCCAATTCAATATTGATTATATTTGAAAATCCATTAAGAAAAGTCATAACAACATTGGAAAGAAGACGGTAAAACTCATTTGTAATGAAAATGACAAATAGATTATTTATTTAGAACACACAAGAAAATTTTTTAAAAAAACCCATTAGAACCAATTAATTGGAGCTAAAACATTTCAGCAAAATAAACAGACACAAGATCAACATCAAGATTACATTTAAAAAAAAAATTTTTTTTTTTTTTTTTTGAGACAGAGTCTTGCTCTGTCACCCAGACTAGAGTGCAGTAGTGCAATCTCAGCTCACTGCAACCTCAGCACCCCAGGTTCAAGTGATTCTCCTGCCTCGGCCTCCCTAGTAGCTGGAATTATAGGCATGTGCCACCACACCCGGCTAATTTTTTTTGCATTTTTAGTAGAGACAGGGTTTCATCATGTTGGCCAAGCTGGTCTTGAACTCCTGATCTCAAGTGATTCCCCAGCCTGGGCCTCCCAAAATGCTGGGATTACAGGCATGAGCCACTGCACACCCAGCATGAAGAAAACATTTTTAAAAACATTACTAAAAAGACAGAATGAATACAGACATAAAATATCTCTCAATGGGAAGATTCAGTATTGTTAAAATAATAATACACAATAAACTCTCCTTGAAATGCAAATGTTGGTCAGATGCAAAGCACTACAAATTCTCATTCATTGCAGTGGGAATGCAGGAGTACAGACACTTTGAAAGACAGTTTGGCCGTATGTTACAAAAGTAAACATACTTTAAAAACACAACCCACCACTCTCACTCCTCAGTACAAATGAATTGAAAACTTATATTCACACAATATAAGTTGTGTGAATATAAGCCTGCACACAAATGTATATAGCAATGTTTTTCACAATTGCCAAAAACTGCAGTAACCAAGGAGCCTTAATAAGTAAATATTTAGTGATAAAAAGAAATGAGAAGTCAAGTCACAAAAAAACATGGAGAAACCTTAAATGCACATTGCTAAGTGAAAGAAGCCAATGTGAAAAGGCTACACACACTGTAGGACTCCAATTATGTAACATCCTGGAAAGGACAAAACTACAGAGACAGTATTTAAAAACAGTGGTTGCAAAGGGTATGAGGGATGAATAAATGAAACATGACAATATGAATTTCTCAAACCCACAGAACCAGTACAACACAAAGAAGGAACCTTAATGTAAGGTAACATAAACTATGGACTTTAGTTAATAACAATGTATTAATAATGGTTCATTAATTGTAACAAACATACCACAGTAATGCAAAATGTTAATAAGAGAAAAACTCTGAGTGGGGTGGGAGGACATATGGAAACACTCTACAATCTGCCCAATTTTCCTGTAAATCTAAAACTGTTCTAAAATATAAAATCTATTAATTTTAAAAAGCTAGCTTAGAAACAAGTTATTTCTATTCAATAATTCAACAAATGTTTGTTCTTCAATACTGCTCAGAACTGCATTAAGATGCCACAATAATATTTGATTGGAGAGATTACTGTTCATATATATCAATGGTTCTTGACTAGGGAAGATTCTGCTCTCCCCACCTCCAAAGACATTTAGTAATGTCTGTAAATGCATTTTGTCATCACAACTAGGAGAAGGTAAGACGTTACTGGCACCTAGTGCATACAGGTCAGGAATACTGCTAAACATTCTATTAATATAATGCACAGGACAGCCCCCTACAACAAAGAATTACCTGGGCCAATATGTCAATAGTGCTGAAATTGAGAAACTCTGATACCTATGTGCCCAGCCACCTGGCAGTGTGCAGCCTATGGTAGCTGCAAAATAAACATCTGTTGACAAATGGATATAAGAAAGACTGAACAGATAAAACCGAAAAAAGAAGGAAAGAAAAAGGAAAGATGAAGGACAGGATGGTAGGCTCCCTGCTCATGCAGAAACATGGGGCAAAAAATTAAAATCTTATGTAACAGGTATGATAGCAGAAGCTTATGCAAACCATCTCATCTCCACAAGACATAAGACCACACTCACTGACTTGGTTTCTTAATGAACATATCCCAAGCCTTACTTGCAGCCATTATGACTTCTGGGTTATAAGACATACCTTCCTAACTTTATGTTTAGTCTTTGAGAGGTTAATTTTCGCATGAACTTTATGGTATATCCATTTCAAAGCACCATGCAATTGTCCTCACTCTAAAAGTACATTCAAATATAAAGAAGAAAAAAGTAGAAATACTAGAGTAAATACCATTTTTTCTCCATTTTAAAATTACGACATGAAAAATAACTGTTTGCATATACACAGCAAGTTTCTTTAATATTCAGTTCACACTTGAGAGTGGATGTGGCTTTAAAGAGGGTACATCATGAAGGAGTCTTCTGGTGATGGTACAGTACTGTATCTGGATTGAACTGGTGGTACATGAAGCCATATGCGTGACAAAAAACTGTACAGAAACACACAGGCACACGCAGGTAGAAATGGTGAAATGTGAACAAGCTCTATGGGTTATATTCATGTAAATTTCCTGATTTTGATACAAAATAGTTGTACAAGATGTTAACACTGGAGGAGGCTGGTGAAGGGTACATGAGACCTTCCTAGACATTTCTTTGCAACTTTTTGTATATTTATAGAGCTAAAAAAATACAATAAACTTGTGATAACATTTAGTTCTCTACGAAACTTACCACACTGAGCTCTGATCTACTTGATTAATAAAATAATAACTACATATTAGAAAAAGTTATTTTACACTAGAAGTTATGACCAGAGGAACAAAGTAGAAAAGAATATATTTTCCTTAAATACCACTCTCCAAGGACTATTATGTTTTAGATTATCTCATTTAACCTCCAAAACTGTTCTATAAGGTAGTCACATATTATCCTCTTTTCATAAATTTTTAGGATGCTAAATTTGTCCAAGGTTACAGAGTTAACATGGTAAGTGGTTGAGCTGAGACACCACGTTACCTCCTGTCAGAGGCTAAATCTAATCTTTTTTTTTGAGACAGAGTCTCGCTCTGTCGCCCAGGTTTGAGTGCAGTGGTGCGACCTCGGCTCACTGAAAGCTCCGCCTCCTGGGTTCACACCATTCTCCTGCCTCAGTCTCCTGAGTAGGTGGGACTATAGGTGCCCACCACCACGCCCGGCTAATTTTTTGTATTTTTAGTAGAGATGGGGTTTCACCATGTTAGCGAGGATGGCCTCTATCTCCTGACCTCGTGATCCACCTGCCTCCCAAAGTGCTAGGATTACTACATTATGATTGCCTCCCATTTTAACCTGGAATACCTGCCAATCTTCATAGCAACTAAACTGTCAAATGGATCCCCTTACTCAAGCTTCAAAAGAACAGGAGTTGGGGGAGGGGGAAGCCTTCATGTATAATACTGTCTTTGACAAAAATATATCATTTGTCTTAAATTACCTTAGTACTGGCCCATGATCCCTAATCTGAAACCTTAAGTGCCAGGTGTGTTCCAGAATTCATAACTTTTTGGAATTTAGAAAGGTAGCAGTGGACAACATGGTAGCTCACCCCTGTAATCCCAACAATTTGGGAAGGTGAGGTGGTATGATTGCTTGGGGCCAGGAGATTGAGACCAGCCTGGGCAATATGGAAAGACCTCATCTCTACAAAAAATCTTAATATTAGCCAGGCATGGTGGCACATGCCTGTAGTCCCAACTATTCAGGGGGCTGAGGCAGGAGGATCACTTGAGCCCAGGAGGTCGGAGCTACAGTGAGCCATGATGGGGTTACTGCACTCCAGCCTGGAAGTCAGGGCAAGACCCTGTCTCAAAAAAACAAACAAACAAAGGTAAAGGCATATATATTGTATATTACACTATGCCTGGAGGGGGTTTAGGGGTCACACATCATGACTAAATACATTAATATTTCTGCAGCAAAATGCAGAGATATGCATAGTAAGCACGATAAGTAAAAACCATAAATAGCCTTCCATCAGTTCTAGTAATTTTGCCACCAAATGAGTTTACCAAAAAAATAAATAAATAACAATAAAAAACAAACACCTTTTGGTTTCAGAGATTTCAAGCTTGTGGAATTGCAGATTAAGGGATTAAAAACATTTAACATGTTATACACAGAATATACACACCTCCATCCCATCTCCAAAAACAAAAGCTAATTTTTGAAATCCTTAATTAGAAAAAGTAATGCCATCTTACACCAACATCTTAGAAGGACAGGGATTACCCACTCCTTGAAAAGATACCTGAATTCATCCTCCTATTAAGTGATGAACAACCATCCAAAAAGCCATCAGTTAAATGGCTGCTACCAACAGAACAGGTTCCGGAAGCCTCTGTAAACCAGCCAATAGAATGATGACAGTTGGATTGTTTTGTCAGATGTCACTAGCAATAATCAGAGGTGGTGAAAAGGCTAGGGGAATGCTGTTTGAAGCCTAGCAGCATAAAAGATGAACTGTATAGCTTTGAGATCCTATAAAAATCACACACATCAAAATGAATAGGAAGAAAGCAAAGCGCACAGAATCAATAGCCAGATAGTGGAATGTCAATTACAGTTCTTCTATTTCTTAGCTGTGCCCTCTCAGTGCCTCAGTTCCTTCATCAGAGAAAAGGAAAAATACTACCACCTATTTCAAAGAGTTATTGTGAGAGAGATAAATCTGTTAATGCATATATACTATTTAGAACATGCAGGGCACAAATAGGAGCTATTATCACTATTTTTCAGATTGTCATAGATTTCCTTATAGTTACTATGAAATGTCATGAGAATTATGATAAGACCTTCATTTCTAGTTCCTCACATCCGTTTTATTTTTACCTTAAAATTTTAGGCAAGGATAAATAAGAAAGAAATGTGAGAACTGAACTTATTACCAATGGAAAGAATCTACACAGTATCAGACAAGCTGTAGAGGTATAAATTAAGATTCTATGATGAGGAAAGCCTCAATTTCTTCTCCTTTTTACATCAACATCTGAATACATCCACATGCCAAAACATACAACTAATTAGTGGTCAATGGATATTTTCACAGATGTATTCAATCAGCTGAATATTTTAGGAATAAGAGCAAAACCTCCAAATCCATATTCAAGGTGAATATCCCTTATCTAAAATGCTTGGAACCAGAAATGTTTCAGATTTCAGATATTTGTTTAAATTTTGGAATATGTGCATTTTACTTGCCAGTTTAGCATCCCTAATCCAAAAATCCAAAATCTGAAATGCTCCAGTGAGCATTTCTGAAATTTCAGCATCAAGTCAATGCTCAAACAGTTGCAGATGTTGGAGCATTTTAGATTTGAGATTTTTTAGATTAGAGATACTCCACCTGTATTAGAAATAGTAGCAATTATAACTGATCTGTTCTTAATTTAGAAATAACCTGAATAATCCAAGATGATATTTACTTTTCTGCTTTGCTAACAGAACTATCAGAGACAAATGTTCTTACTAGAAAGTAGGTGAAAATCAGAAAATACATGAACTTTGCTCATTAATTTCATAATATTTGTATCTACTCTCTTTGTTTTCTAGCAACCTTAAATTAAGACTAAAAAATTCTACCTACTGTGAGTACTTGGGAAACCATCTTTTAGTCTACTTCTTTTTTTTTTTTTTTAAGGGGAGCATTATTAAAGAAATTAAATTTTAAAGATATCATTCACGTGTCAGTTCTCAATGTTTACGAAAACTCTCAGACAACTCCTGGTAAACATCCCCCAAATACCAACCTTGGATAAAAATACATAATTAAGACTTATTACTGGCTGGGTACAGTGGCTCACGCCTGTCATCCCAGCACTTTGGGAGGCTGAGGCAGGTGGATCGCTTGAAGTCAGGAGTTTGAGACCAGCCTGGTCAATATGATGAAACCCCGTCTCTACTAAAAATACAAAAATTAGGGGGACATGGTGGCGCACACCTGTAATCCCAGCTACTCATGAGGCTAAGGCACAAGAATCTCTTGAACCCAGGAGGCAGAAGTTGTAGTGAGCTGAAATCCTGCCACCACTCTCCAGCCTGGGCAACAGAGTGAGACTCTGTCTCAAAAAAAAAAAAAGACTCATTATCAAAAAGGTCCATCTATTTTAATGTAAATACTGAATTGCTTCTTTACGTATTTCTACTTCTGAATACTTTCCCAGAAATGGACAAACACAGGGAGGAATACAGGCTCTTCAATAAAAAGACCAGGATTTCAAATTAATTCCCAATATGTGTGCTAATAATCTTAAAAACATCCTAAGATGTTTAAGTTTCAGGAGACTCACCTGAAAGAGTTAATATACAATGACCAAACAAAACATTTGTGAATCTTATAACTGAGTCCACTAAGGATTATAGAGGACATCTTTCTTAGGCATTCCTTCTATAATACAGTAAAGCTTACTTTTGGAAAATAAACTTTCTGAGAGCTATTCAACTCCTAGTACATTTTTCCACCAAGTTAGATGCCAAGAATAATAAATTTATATACTGAAAGAGGGGATAAAAGAACCATTCATTACTTACTTTTACTAAGAAATCAATGAATTAACTAAAGTTCTTTCAGAAGTATATTTTATACCATGAATTACACAGTACTTTTTGTGGCGTAAAGCTTAAGAATCTAGCTCTCATATATGCACTTGCTTAGTAAATGTTCTGACCTCTAAAATATTTTTGAAATATCTTCCTAAACAATCCAGAAAGTTTCAAATTATTAGGAAAAATTTCAGGCATTGTAATTTTTAAATTCCTATCATAGACTAGAATATTAAGAAAGACTGCACAGGCTGGGTGCAGTGGCTCATGCCTGTCATCCCAACACTTTAGGGAGGCTGAGGCGGGCAGATCACTTGAGGTCAGGAGTTCGAGACCAGCCAGTTGCCAAAGAGGTGAAACTCTGTCTCTACTAAAAATACAACAACTTATAGTTGGGCGTAGTGGTGGGTGCCTGTAGTCCCAACTGCTCAGGAGGCCGAGGCAGGAGAATTGCTTGAACCCAGGAGGCAGAGGTTGCAGTGAGCCGAGATCGCACCACTGCACTCCAGACTGGGCAATAGAGTGAGACTCCATCTCACACACACACACACACACACACACACACACACACACACACAAAAAGACTGGACTGCACAAAAAGGGAAGTGTAGGCATGGATGGATACATAAACTTTATTTACTTTTCCTTTAAACAAGGTGTCAAAAATAGCCTTGCTTACCAGTGTCATCGGCAGGCTCAGATGTGAGTGGTTTTGGAGCTGGTGTATTTTTGGGTCTGGCAGCAACCTGAGATGGAGATGAAGGTGTGTTGTCTCCATTAACTACATACGAGCAGCATGAGTTTTGGACTAGAGTGCTTGTAGGTACATGATTATCTATTCCATTCGTGCCTTCAACAGCCAACCTTGAAAAAAAAAATGCCTTATTTCAATCATTTAAGTACAAGTCAACAACATTTCATGAGAATTTTCATAAGAATTATTTATTGAGTTCTCTTAAGTTTCTGTTATTTATTTTTTAAAAATTTTTGCCGGGCGCGGTGGCTCAAGCCTGTAATCCCAGCACTTTGGGAGGCCGAGACGGGCGGATCATGAGGTCAGGAGATCGAGACCATCCTGGCTAACACGGTGAAACCCCGTCTCTACTAAAAAATACAAAAAACTAGCCGGGCGAGGTGGCGGGCGCCTGTAGTCCCAGCTACTCGGGAGGCTGAGGCAGGAGAATGGCGTGAACCCGGGAGGCGGAGCTTGCAGTGAGCTGAGATCCGGCCACTGCACTCCAGCCTGGGCGACAGAGCGAGACTCCGTCTCAAAAAAAAAATAAATAAATAAAATAAAAATAAAAATAATTTTTTAGATTCTATTTCCAAACAATTGAGTTCTTACATTTCAAGTAAAATGAGAGGTAATGAACAAAGATATGACATGTTTTATATTAACGTTTTAATTACTTTTCAGTTCTAAGTATATCCATTCTGCAGATAAAAAAATACTGAGGTATACAAACATACTAAGTCAAAATAAATAAGGTCTCTCACAAAAATATTCAAATTGTACATTTTAAATATTTAAGACTAATATTAATCTATTTTAAAAGCTCTAAAAGAAAGTAGTTTCAAGAAGTTCATGAAATTTTATGAATCATAAAAATCAAGTACAAACTACTGTAAATTTTCTTTTTTTTTTAGAGACAGGGCCTCACTTTGTCACCAAGGCTGGAGTGCAGTGGCTCACTGCAGCCTCAACCTCTTAGGCTCAAATAATCCTCCTACCTCAGCCTCTTGATCAGCTAAGAGCACAGGCATGCATCACAGTGTCCAGCTAATTTTTTAAATTTTTGTAGAGATTGGATCTCCCTTTGTTGCCCAGGCTGGTCTCGAATTCCTGGCCTCAAGCGATCCTCCCATCTTGACCCCCAAAGTGCTGGGATTATAGGTGTGAGCCATTGTACCTGGCATGAAACTATTATAACTTTATTAAATCTTGAAAAATAAGTGAAAAACAGTCTTCAGATATTGATTACAAATTAGCATATACGAGGCACTAAAATCATGACTACAGGATGATCAAAAAAAGCTAAATATTATACCCCAGAACTATAAAAATGTGTAGTATATACATTAGCAAATAAGTAACTCTAACAACAAAATCAAACATTTTAAGCCTTATTGGCAGTGGAAGGAGCTGGCGATTTGGTGAGACACAGTGTTTAAAAAAAACAAAACAAAAAAATTTTAAAGGAGTTGGAAATTGTAAGTGGCCAGGAGTGCTTTTCCAAATACACAGGTCATCCCATATCTACTCTCCACAGAGCAGCCTGAGCATTGTTTTAAAAATATAAACCAGATCATCATGTCACTCTCCTGGTTAGCCAACAAATCTTTTGAAAATCAACCACACCTTTATCCCATCTTCTCTCTAACCTATTTCTCTCTGAGCTCATCCTTGCTCACTTTGCAGCAGATATCGATTTTACTGAATATCAAAAACATACTGAACAGTCTTCAAATGTTTATTACAAATTATGATATGCCAGGTGGTAAAACATAATAACTATGAAATTATCAGAAAAGTTTAAAGTTCTTCCCTCAGAACTCTGCACAGATGGTTCATTCTTGGCTTATTAATCTTAGCTCAAATCACACTTCCTCAGAGATGATTCCTTGGCATCTCTTAAAAATAGGCTCCCTTCCATTCCTGTCATCTTGTCCCATTTAAATGACTTCATAGTGCTTATTGCTATGTCCAATTAGTGTATTTATGTCTTCTGTTGTTTACTATACATATATATACACACATATATATGTGTGTGTGTATATATATATATTCCCCCACCCCCCCGAGACGAAGTCTTGCTCTGTCACCCAGAGCTGGAGTGCAATGGCGTGATCTCAGCTCACTGCAACCTCTGCCTCCCGGGTTCAAGCAATTCTCCTGCCTCAGATTCCCAAGTAGCTGGGATTACAGGTGCGCACCACCACGCCTGGCTAATTTTTTTGTATTTTTAGTAGAGACAGGGTTTCACCATGTTGGCCAGGCTGGTCTGGAACTCCTGACCTCATGATCTGCACGCCTCAGCCTCCCAAAGTACTGGGATTACAGGCACGAGCCACCGTGCCCAGCCTACTATCTACCTTTATCTCAACAGAATGTCAATTTCATGGGAACACGGCTGGTATTCTTAGTACCTGAACTAATGTCTGGCATCAAACAGGCATTCAGTAAGTATCTGTTGAATGAACAAATGATTAATGAATCCCACCCTCCTTTCCCTTGTCACCTATACATTTGGAACAAGATGTGTTTAGGAAGTTTGGGCAGGTAAAGACTGAAATGATTGTGATTTGTACACCCCTCCCCAGGCAACTAGCAAGAATCAGTGATTCAGAAGTCTAGGTAAAATAACCCATCTGAATTTCTCCTGGTACTATAGAACTAATCTTTAATTCAAAGAGTCTTACTATGCAATCGACAATATTTGGTAGTAATTCAAGCTCCTCTACCCATCTAAAATTTTTTTAATTACATGGACATTAAATATATTTACTTAAACCAAATATACATTCAGAAGGCATACTTATCTGTTCAAGTGGTCTAATGAGAATCACTAAATGGCAGGTTAGAAGAAATGATACTAAAAACTATAGATTAATAAAGGTCACACTTTGTCACATACCAGTATGCTTTTTCAAAGGTAATGAGTCCGTTTTACAACAGTATATTTTTATATTTTCAGGTGCTAATTCCACTTTATTTGATCTATTATATACTTTTATTCCAATTTAAATTACTTCAAACAAAAAAAACCTTTATTAATTGTCACGAACTGTGAATGCCAGGGTGTTTCTGAAATGTTAGAATGATATATCTGAGGGAAGGCCACAATGATGTCTGAAAGAAGGCCACAATCTGTGGAGCATTTACCTTCTCATGATTTACAGCATAATGCCAATCCAGAGAGCGGTATGATACCTATTTATCCATAGTAACTGACTGTACTTATAAAATATGTCTAAATACAGATTTTAAAAAGCCATTTTCAATAAAAAGAAATAAAGCACTGTACATGCTACAACATAAATGAACTTTGAAACATGCTGAGAAAAAGAAGCCAGTCACAAAAGATCACATACTGTATGAATCCATGTATATAAAATGGCCAGAACAGACAATTCAGACACAGAAAAAGTAGATTTATGGGTACAGGGAAAAATGGAGAGTGAGGACTCATGCATACATGGTTTCTCTTCAGGGTAGAATGTTCTGAAATCACACAGTAGAGAAGGTAACACAACTATGTTAATATATTAAAAACTATTAAAACATATACTTTTAAAAAGTGAATTTCATGATATATGTATGACATCTCAATAAAGCTGTAATTTTTTAAAAAGCTACTTTCACAAGAATTAACCAAATGACATGTTTAGACATAAGCTTCTAAATTCTGTGGCAAATTCTAAACTAAGGTAAAATATAAAACTTCTTATTCAGGAAATATGTTCCACATCATGTCGCCACCCATATTCAAATAAAATATTCTACCTGGCAGTTGTCCTTGCTGAAGGCTCTCCATTTTCATGTAAGGCATCACCATTTTGCTGTATTTCTACTGAACAACAAGAAAGAAAGAAACTAGGTTTTTATATACTTCTTGCTCATTCTTTTTCCTTTAAATTTTACAAACATATAAAGTTAGCTTACTGGTTGGAGATGAGCTGCAGTTTGTTATATTTTCTTGCTCAATCACCAATCCATCAAGCACAACTGTCAATTCACCAGTCTGTGCTATGCCATTCTTGTTTTCCAAGGAAAGTTTTAATTGTTCTTTCACTCTTTCCACTAGAAAGAAGAATATTCTAATTTAAAAGCTTTTGCCATACATAAAAATGCTTCAGAAATCAAAATTACATTTCAAGAATCACTCTAATTCAGTACTTGACATTTGGAAGGAATTCTTTGCATGCCTTTGACACTTAGTTAAGTAATTCCTCTTTCCCCCTCAATCCCATGCTTTCAATATCAGCTTTAATTGCTTCTGTGCATATTATAAATGTTGGAGAACATATAAATACATCTAAATAATAACTGTAGCAATTATCTAAACTTGCTTTTCAGCTTAAGGTACCACAGAGGACTCTTGTGGCTGAGGCAAAATTTCTGCGCAAGAGTCAGGTAAGTTTGGTTTCAAATTCCAGTTCTGCTACTTACTGGCCGTGTATTCAGCAACTTACTCAAACGTCTTTAAGCCTTGGTTTCTTAATTACAAAATGGAGACGATGGATTTCAAACTAAAGGGACAGTGTTGAGGACCAAATGCAAAACCATACAGAAAGCTCTAGCACCACTTCTGAGGCACAGTTTACATGCTCGATAAATGCTACGTATTGTGACAATCGTTTATCATCATTTTCATATAAGGATAAATACTTCCTTCCCATTATTAGAACAACTAGTTCTTTCTTAAATTCAAGGTCATTTTGCTTCAATTTCTATTAGACTATATATTTAGACTATGTATTAAGTGATATATTAGACTTCTATATATTAGACTATATATTAATAGTTATTAGAAGGGGCTTAGAGAAAAGTAGAGATGAAGGTAAAAGAATACAGCTTCAGTTAGAAGGAATTTTTGTTTCTTTGAGATATTGTACAGTGTGATTTACACAGTAAATAATGTGTGGTACATTCAAAATTGCTAACAGTAAATTCCAAATGTTCTCATCACAAAAAAAAACATAAGTATTTGAGGTGACAGATATGTTAATACGCTTGGTTTAATTATTCCACATTGTATTAATTGATCATAACATCACTCCATATCCCATAAATATATACAACTACAATTTGTCAATTTATAATTTAAAAATAAAAACTAAAAGAGAAAGTTATCAGTGATCACTTTATTATTCAAACTGAGGCCAAATACTTCAATCTGATCTTCAGTGGCTTTCTGCAGTTTTTGCAATCACGGAACATTTCACGTTTTAGATGAAGTCCTTAACTTTGATCTTTCCTATATTTGATCTTTCCTATATTTAACAAATTTGGGTGGGGAGGGGAGGTTCTCCATTTACCAAATGCCCAGAATAAGTATGTTCACAGTTATCTATGTACAGAAAAGACAAGACAAAAATCTAGAACTACTAATCACTGGACAGAAATTCTTTGTGGCTAGGCCTGGTGGCTCACACTTGTAACCCCAGCACTTTGGGAGGCCGACACAGGAGGATCCCTTGAGTTAGGAGTTTGATACCAGCAACACAGTGAGATCTAGTCTCTATAAAAAATTTAAAAATTAAGGCCAGGCATGGTGGCTCACGCCTCTAATCCTAGCATTTTGGGAGGTGAGGTAGGCGGATCACTTGAGCCCAGGAGTTCAAGACCAACCTGGCCAGCATAGCAAGACCCTGTCTCTATTTTATTTTTTAAATTAAAAAAGTAGCCAGGTGCAGTGGCATGTTCCTGTATTCCCAGCTACTCAGGAGGCTGAGATGAGAGGATCCTGTAAGCCCAGGAGTTCAAGGCTGCAGCAAATGATGAATGCACTATTGCACTCTAGTGGGAGTAACAGAGTGAGGCCCTGTCTCAAAAAAGAAAGAAGGAAAGAAAAAGAAATTGTTTGCAAAAAAAAAGTTTAAACCATGTAATAAAAGAAGACCTTATAGAATACCCCAACCATTTGTAGCATCACAGACCTCAATTCTACTTTACATCCCCCCAAAAAAAAACCAAACAAAAAAAAAAAACCAATTAAACAACTAGAAAAACTAAAGGAAATACAAAAGCACACACACAAAAAAACTATAAAAGCAGCCAGGCACAGTGGCTCACGCCTGTAATCCCAGCACTTTGGGAGGCCGAGGCGGGTAGATCACAAAGTCAGGAGATCAAGACCATCCTGGCCAACATGGTAAAACTCTGTCTCTATTAAAAATACAAAAAAATTAGCTGGGTGGCAGGCACCTGTAGTCCCAGCTACTTGGGAGGCTGAGGCAGAATTGCTTGAATCTGGGAGGCAGAGGCTGCAGTGAGCCCAGATTGCGCCACTGCACTCTAGCCTGGGCGACAGAGCAAGACTCCTTCTCAAAAAAAAAAAGAAAACTACAAAAGCACAAATTTCAGCTTTCTCTAATAATCAATATCTGAAGAAAACTATATTGACTGACATACAATTGCATTCTTGTCATCTCCCATGATTTCAAGTGTCTGGAATTTGGTGATTTGGTTTCTCCTTAAAATATGAAGCTGTTTGACCAGATTCCTAAAGAACAGCCTTTTAAAATCTCTTTAGTGTGTGTTTCTTGGTAAGTTCTTTCATTTTTATTTATCTATAAATGTCTGCATTCTCATCCTCAAAAGACAGACTTGTTGGACATATAATTTTATATCGGTAATGATCTCCTCTCAACTCTTTGAAGATATTTTTCCACTATCTTCTCCTATTACTAATTCTGCAATTCTAATTCATAAATCTTTGCAAATACCCAGTTTTTCTCTACAGCTGCTTTTTAAATTTATTTGTCTTTGGTATTATGCATTTCACTATGATATGGGGAGGTAGACCAAAAAACAAAAACATTCTTTTAGTGGTAAGTGCATTGAAGGAAATGAGCAAAGCAGTGGTAAGGAGGTCTCCTTTAGGCTGGTCAGGGTTTGATCCTGACCTGGTCACCTAGTGGCCTGGTCACTAGGCATGACTTTCTCTTTGCTCTCTTGTTTGGGACAGTATGAATCTGTGGACTCACGTTTTTCATTAGTGTTCAAAAACTTGCAGCCATTCTCTCTTAAAATATCTCCTCAAAAATCTGGCCCATTACCTATTTTTCATAAATAAAGTTTTATTTGAACACAGTCACACTCATTCATTTACATATTTTCTATGGCTGCTTTCACGTTAAAATGGCAAGTTAATTGGTGTAACAGAAAACCACATATGGCCTACATGCTCAAATGTTTACAATCTGTCTCTTTACGGAAAACCTCTGCTTCTGGTGGCTTATTCCCTTACGTTTATCATCTGACGTTAGCTTAAACTTATTTTAAGCTAATTTTTACCAGTGGTTTGATGATATGCCCTAATTTTACAGTGGTTTCATTGTACACCCAAGAGTGTAGACTAGAGGAGTTCAAGTTCAGCTCCCTTATCTCTGGCTATTAGCCAAAAGCTCAGCATCATTAAATCTGCTATTGGTATGGCAGACTATTCTAATTCTGGTTCATGAGGTTTTCTTTACCCCAATCCCCTCATCTCCTGGCTTTTTTTTTTTTTTTTTAAGAAGAACAGTCCTCTACCTTTTTGCAAAATCATCAATGCCACAAAGATTTGTTCAATCCAGTACCTAGGTATTCTGCAGTGGGAGGGTGTTTACAGTATATATTATTTCACAATTCTGAACATGGAAGATTGAGTTATAACATTTTGGATCATAAAACTGGAAGGACAATCACATAAATAATTCCCATCTACATGTGAATGTATATGTGTGTGTCAGAGGGAAAAAGATATTATTCTGTCATAGTATAAACAAACCAACTCAGACATATTTATCCATTCAATATTTGAGTGCCTGCAGTGTGCCAGGCACTGTAGCTGGGGAAGAAGCAGGACAAACCCTGACTAGCCTAAAGGAGATCTCCTTACCACTGCTTTGCTCATTTCCTTCAATGCACTTACCACAAAAAGAATGTTTCTGTTTTTCAGTCGACCTCCCCAAACGAACTGAAATCTCTAGCAGAGCAGAGAGATCTTGTCCAACTAATTCAGTGATGTATCCTCAGCAGCTGAGAGAAGGTAAGTGCTTAAGAAACATTTAAACTAAGTGATTAAGGTAGTCCTGTCCTAGGGGAACTTACTCTTACAAGGCAGAAGCTGATTTTTTTCGTACCTCCTAGCAATTTGAGACAGAACAACTTGAGTCTCTGAGGAGGCAGGTATATAAGTAGGTAATTTGTTCTATAAATCACGGATTTGTTGAAAACGTGTTTCACAGATTTCTATTTAGCTCAGAGCCACATTTTGAAGCAGTTTTTAAAAACTGCTCAATGTATTATCTATTGCTGAGTAACAAATTATCCTAAAACTTACTGGCTAAAAATAACAATAATCACTCATTATTGCCAAGAACTCAAGAGGGGCACACACACATCTGGCAGGTGGGGGTGCTGGCTGCTGAGAGGAGACCTCAGTGCCCCTCCACAGGGCTTTGTGAGAGTCTTCCCAATGGTTGCTGATTTCCCATGGTGAGTACTCCAAGAGAACAAGGCAAAAGCTAAAATGCCTATACGACTAAGTCTCAGAGGTCATACACCATCACTTCTGCCACAATCTAGTGATCACACAGATCATCTGTGACACAGTGTGGGAGGGGGACTACAGAAGGGTGTTGGAACACCAGAAGGTATGAATGCTTGGAGGCCATTTTAGAGGCTGGCCAACGTACTCGTAAGTATGAGAAAAACCAAATTTTTAGAAACAAAATGAATACATAAGGTTACATAGCTTGTAAGCGACAGTCCCAATAATAGCAAAGTTTTCTAATTCCTAAGTCTTTTCATTATATCATGCTATGAGTCAATGTTCAACAACTCACAAAGTTAAGCTCCCACTTCCTGCCATGTAACAAAAAATTTCAGAATTTATTTACTTATTTATTTATAATAAATCTGTAATCCTAGCACTTTGGGAGGCTGAGGTGGGTGGATCACTTGAGGCCAGGAGTTCGAGATCAGCCTAGCCAACCCAGAGAAACCCTGCCTCAACTAAAAATACAAAAATTAGTCAGGCATGGTGGCACGTGCCTGCAGTCCCAGCTACTCACAAAGTTAAGTAGCTAGGG